TATTTAATCTACCGTATTCTTACAATATTAAACCATCGATATTTGAAATCATTCTCATAATACCGTATTTTTTGTTTTTCAAGATCTAAAATCTTGTAAAAGAGGCCGCCCATGAACATCATTGTCATTGATGCCAATTGGGATCTATTATCCTATTTTTCCCGCTTCCTTAGCGGTTATATGAGATCAAGGGACCATTATTATATAAATTGATTGCTTAATAGACAGCATGGGCAGCTCTTCATATAGGCCAAAAATCTCTCTCCTAATATTATTTGATAATCGGTGTCAGTTTTTTTTTGTCTCTTTGCTTTATATCAAGAGGTCATTAGTATTTATTATTTTTTTTAAAATAATCTAAGCAATGCGATCTGATGAGCATGTCATTGAATGTGTTCTGCAGTAATCGTGATGATTGAACGCGGAGCTTTCTTTCTGACAATCGTCAGGATGGTTTTCTGCAAGTGATCCTTAGCTCTGCTAACCTAAGTGTTAATTAAAACCTATATAAGTTGACATGTCAACAATAAATCTAAAAATCTAAATCTAAATGCCCGTGCATGGTGATGATATGTCATGTCTCTTTGAATCCTTTTAAAAGGTTTTTATTGTGACATGTAAATGAATTCTCTTGGCAATGTTGCTCACATCAATCAATTCACGATTGCAATGTATTTTCTTGTTTTTTTTTATGATTAACAGATTCCAAACAAAAACTATGATTGCGAGAAACCTTTTATCTATTAAAATAATAATATATGTCACTTATCAGATATGTAGTCAAATATTTTTATCATTGCTTTTTTGTTGGAAGACAGTCGTGGTGAAGCATTACTATTATGGTCACCATTCTGAATATTTTTTAAAGACACAGAAACCTTTCTCATTGTACAGATTGTACAAAGGAACTTTGGACCTTGTATTTCAATAAGGCTTCCCTAGCCGATCAAGTAAATCGACCATCAAGATAGCTAATGACTTTGTATGTAAAGATTTCTATTTTGTCGGTACTATTACTACTACTATTTCTTGGATCTTTGTTGCCTTAACCTATTTTAGTGATTCTTTCTCTGATGGCTTGTTATATATATATACCTATTACTATGAAAAATGAACAGTAAAGAGAATGCGCGATTAGACCAGAATTCTATATTATTATAAAGAATCTATAAAAAAATAACATCCACGCATATGGATTCGCCATCGTTGTTATTTTCAATGTCATTATCTTAATGCAAACAGATGAGATTTTATTTGATTGCTAAAAAAGTATAACTATTTCATCCTTGTACCAAAGATTTAATTATATTTTTTTGTGATGCTAGTGTGACTAACTAAATTGCCATGAAGACTCTCTGTTACTTGGCCCAAAGCTTTCGCATCACTACCCAATGAGTTGTTCTATGCTTTCAATATTTTTTCCCGTGAATAGTTTAAAGTTTTTATATTTCTAATATTTGTACTTTAAGTTAAAATAAAGCAATGATAGGTTTATCTCATTTGAATGTCGTTTCTGTGACCCTCACGAGAATCATCGCTAACTATCAATTGTGACTTTTTATGTGAGCGTAATTCATCCTATAATTAGGTCTTGATTTTATCTTTATGATTGTTAACTTAATAGTCGCAGAAGGAGCATTTGTATCTTTCTTGGCTAGTATTTTTTTTTTTTAAGATATCTATTAAACTTTTTGATTATTTCAAGTATTGAATTTTACAATAGGGTGCAATGAATATCTTGATAATGGTGATCTTATATGAAGTCAGTTATTATGAATAAGTTCTTGCGAAGTTTATATATAGCCATGAGTTAACCTTAAAAGGCTTCTCTATATTGATGTTTCTTGCAAGTTGTTTCTTTGTTTTGTCTTTTATGTATCTAGAGATTAAGGGAGACTGCTTGCTGCATACATTAACTATCTATCAAACCAACACTTGAGAGGTTTTGAAAAATCGCATATTAATATGACCCAATTTTATTGATGACCAAAAAAAAAACAAGAGATGAGATAAATCTGCACTGAACGATTATTGGACAATAATAATAATAATAATAATAATAATAATCAATCTATATATTCTTATCGATTCACATTTGATTGGTTAAAAGTTGTCACCAAATATCACGTAAATTTTGATTGGCCTAAAAATCAAACACGCTCAGCTCACTTCAAAAAAAAAAAATTTTTCATATAACAAGTAATTATTTAATTTATGAATTACCAATTTAAAATTTATTTTCACAATGAACAATAGAGTTATTATTGATAATAATATTATTACCCATTAGTTGATATTGTTGATATTGATATTGATTTTTTTTTCTTGATGGTCATACCCACAAATCAATTATTGAATATGTAAGTTAACATGTAAAAGAATACTTCATTAAATGTTAAAATAATGTTTCAATTGGTTGGATTTTATTTTACTAAAAAATTAAAATAATAAATAAATAAATAGGGAATTGTTATTCGCACCCCACGTGACTAAGTGTAGTAATGTGACCAATGAATGGCTTAGCCAAATAAATCACTTAGAAAATGGCTTGATCAAATAAATTGCTTAGCAAATAACTTGATGATTTTATTAGTTTATCTTTTGTCTTAGTCACTTGGGTGCGATAGAAATATTTATTTATTATCGTTAATTTAATTCATTTGTAAAAATAATTTCACACATAATAATAAATAAATAAATTCTTTATTTCGCTTATAAAAACACTTTTGTAGTCGGAAATTAAACAGTAGGATTTAATTGTCCATTTGGTTATCAGAGTGGTAGAGAACTCTGAGGTTTTGTTTATTTGCTTTGGTATAAAATGAAAGTTTTGACGTTGGTTAATCAGTGTAGTGTTAACAATGGGTTGTATAGAAAATTTTCAGTTTCTTTGGTTTCAAGTGACATTTATCCTGTATTAGTATTATGATATTTCCAATAATCAATTCATAATTAATTTCGTCACCCATAATTAGTTTCGTCACCTGTAATAGTAATTAATTTCATAATTCTGCTTTTAGAGAGGGAAAGTGGTAATAAATTACGATAATTGCAAATTACGAATTAGATAATTACCATCCCATGTATATTCACACTTGCAGACCATTATGTTGAATCACAAATGCCAGATCTAGAAAAAAAGCCCTTAAATCCAGAAACTTGATATATTCTGTTTATACATTCAGACCTTGTTATAACGAATTTCGAACTAGTACAGTTTAGAGAGTATCCGCAGAAATATTGTATTTTGATTGGATATTCCTGAGGATACTTTTTAAATTTGTACTAGTTCAAAATTCGTTATAACAAGGTTTGGCTTTATGTTCACAAACCAATTATTCTAGCCGGGGTTGTTATACTAACAAGACAACGGCCTAAATGATTGTCTCTATAACTGCTTGAAAAGAGCCTATGGAACAAAATGGAAACTCCCACAAGGCCAGAATTATTAAAGCAAGATTATGCCTTCAAAGGGACGATCTGGTTCTGGTAAACCTTATAGAAGTAGAAATGGTGAGTTCTATAGCTATTGATGTTGGTGGGGATCATTATTACAAATATATTAGAAATTCCAAACAAAAAATAGGCATTATTCACTTGCAAAAAATCCAAATTGACAAAAGTCAAGTGATATTCAAAACCAGTTGATCCAATAGCATAACAGTGGAATTATAAAATGGCGAATTATACTGGACCAGTTACATTGCTGAGTTTAAAAGGCAGATTTATAATTCTCCCAAGTATTGCTATATCTCGGTAAGGATAAAACTTTTGAAACTCTTATAGAATCATATAATAGATTAAGTGAGGAGAAAATTTGACATTTCAATGGACATGCAGATGTGTGGTGGTAACGAAAAAATCATTGCTTTATGGTTATTTGAGCAATGCAGGCTTGGCATTTCTTTAGATCCTCAAGAGGCTAAATGGATTTCAAACACAATGAGAGGTGGTTTGATTTGGGCAATAGGACTTTATTAGCATGTTCATTTCTTTTAAACATTTTTTGATTCAAGAGATTTAATCTTCAATGATATATGCAATTAAAAATTAAAATATGATATATCCAAACTCTACATCAGGAAATTTTCCCTGCTGTAATATTATGTCCATAAATTTTAATATTTGATACCTGAGCACTAATTCCAATAATGTTCCTTTGCTTAATAATTAATTAATACTACATTAATATTGTTTGACTGAAAAATAATAATTACTATTTTTACTTATTTTTATTAATATTATTAATATTGCACAAATGTAGATAGTACTAGGGTTGATAAAGTTGACTAACTCACCAAAATACATGGTATTAGTTGACAATATTGACAGTTACTTTTCTTGTGTAAAAGGAATAATAACAAGTTTCAGTTTGAGAAATAATCAAATCATACTCAAAACTATTCACAATAAATAAGTCATTATTATTATTTAATATTGAACCTTTTTTTGTTGCAAATCAATAGATAAATTTTAATAGATACTTATAATTATCATATCAATAAAATCCCTTGATTCAAGAACTGTTCCTTTTTCCAAAATTTCATGTCCTACCAATGTACAGTATTTTTTAAAGAAAAATCTACCTTGTATAATACTAGATGCATTAAAAATTTTCATGCATTTTTACCTAATGACCTCCCCAATGAATGTGCAACTATGGCAACTATATTATTTATATTATTATTCATTTTAACATTATTATAAAAAAATTTAAAATATTAAAAAATAATTTTTTGATTCAAAATTTTTTTTTAATTCTTATAAATTGTTATCAACCAATAATAAAAGTTACTTTTAAACCTTTCATTGAACATTTTGATTTTTCCTAGTGATTGAAAATTTATTATAATCCCATTCATCCGACAAATTATCAGATATTATTTGATGTGCTTTTTCATCTTTTCCAAACTTAAAAAGAATTTGTGCAAAATGTTTATAATTGTCTGAATCAAATCTGAATCCATTTTTTTCAAGTTGATTCCACTCATTTTCTATAGTTTCGAATTCATTTGCTGATGAAAGTGCTTTCATCATAATTGAAAGTGCAAAATTGGGTGGTGGTTCTGGGGCAGGCAATAAATATGCTGATAATTCAAGTGAATCAAATAACATAAGGTCTGGATTTATATTTTTTGACTTGAAAGTCTCTGATAATGGTATTAAACTATTACGTATTGAGCAATATTTTTCATATAAAACTTCCCACATTTTAAATACAGCTTGATGATTACCTCCTCTATAATAAGCATCCATCAGGACAGTAAATGAGTATGAATTATAAGGTATACCAAGAGTTACCATTTTGTCAAATATTTCTTTTGCAACATGAAATTGACCTTGTTTGGCATAAGCATTCATAAGAGGTGTAAATAAATGTGGAGGAAGATCAATCTCACCCATCATTAATTTATAATTTGTAGAATCAGTAATTTTCTTATTTTCAAATTCAACAATTAATTCATCCAGTATCTTGTAAGCAAATTGAATCTCTCCAGCTCGTGTATAACCTTCTATCAAAACAGCAAATGTTACATATGTTGGGTTAATATTTCTGCTGATCATATCTTCATAAATTTTTTTTGCCTTTTCAAATTCACTGATTTTCATATAACCATGTATAAGTACTGTGTAAACATGAGCATCCGGCTTTATTTCAGAATTATTTAACATATGATCTATCATTGCAATAGCCTTATCTATTTCACCTTTGATACAAAAACCATAGGCCGCACAAGAATAAGTGTAATGGTCTGCAATTATTGAAGCACTCAACATATATTCAAAAATTTCTTGTACACGTATCATATTTCCTTCCTTGGCATGACCCATAATTAACATATTATAGGTTGCAGTTTGTGGTTCAATCCCATTGTTTTTCATTTGGTTGATAATTTCTTCTGCTTCCTGTAATCTTGAGGTTCTTGCATATACATTCAAAAGAGAAGAGTATGTATATAAGTCAGGGGTTAAATTAAATTCACACATTTCATTAAACAAAATACAAGCTCCAATCAAATCATTCTTTTTTGCAAAAAGTGATATCAAACCATTATATGTTCGTACATCTGGTTTTATTCCTTCGTCCAACATTTTTTGATATATTTCAACTGATTTATGCAATTTGTTTGCACGTCCATATCCATGTATCATATTGTCATAAGTTACTGTGTTTGGATCTACTCCATCTTTAATCATATGATTAAAAGTCATCTCCATCATTTTTATATTTTTAATATTTGAAAATAAATCAAGTATTGATGAATATGTATATTTATCTGGTTTTATTCCCATTTTCTTCATCATTGAAGTCATTTGTGAAATTTTGTCAACTTTATTTATTTTTGCATACACATGAAAAATTTCTCTGAATGTGTTAAGGTTTGGATCAGCTTTCATTTCCAACATATCTTCAATCACCTCAAGTGCTTTAACATAATTTTCTGTTTGATGATAATATCTTATCATAGAGGTGTATGAAGCAGTATCAAGTTTATAATTTTGCATTGCCATTTCTTTAAGTAAACCATCTGAAACATCAAACATTTTTTCTGAGGTGTAATTTTCTATTAAATTGGTATATATAATAGGATCGCATTTCATTTTTAATGATTTCAGCTTGTTTAAGATCTTAGTTGCTTCATCAAATTTCTTTTTATCTGAAAGTATAATCACCACTTCCTTTATTAATCCTGCATCTAGTTTTTCTTTATCCATTAATTCATTAAACCATGACAATGTTTCACTTTCATCATGGTCAAGATTCCTTTTGAAAACAATTTTCACTATAGATTTTGTATCACCATTAGGTTTAATATTCTTATCTTGCATTAAAGTATATAATTTCGTAACTTCTTGAAGATTTCCAAGATTTTTAATCTTTTGATTTTCGTTGTTTAAGATATACCTCGGACTTCCAAACCCAAGCATCATTGTATTAATTATCTTACAATACTCCAACGAATTTTTTCCCACATGTTCATCATCAAGTGAGGTTAAAATAAATTCATCAAAAAGTTCTTTAGCCTTTTTCAAATTTCCATTTTCAAAAAAAGCTTTTATCAAATAATTGAAAAGAATTAAAGTGACTTTTTGATTCCTGGTTTCTTTCAAATTATTGTAAATCATTAAAAATTTATCAAGTCTTCCTTTTGCATCATTGTCCAAATTTTTGATTGCTCTCAATAACCTATTTAAATATTTAGTATCAATATGTACTAAGTTTCCTTCTTTGACCAATTCTTTATAAACATCCCATACTTGGTCATCATTCTCATTAGACTGCAAAGCTTTTCGTAATTTCGTTGAGAAAAGAATTTTTCCCTGTTCTAAATCACCCTCATTATCCATGTTATTATTATCATCAACATCAATGTTGTTATTATTATTATTTTCAATATCAATATTATCATCAATAATGTTATTGTTAGCTATGCTAGTGTTGTTGTTACTATTATCATCACTTATTCCATCAATTATATTATTCTCATTATTACCATTAAAATCTTTATCAATGTTTTCTTCCGTTATTGATGATGAATTTTCAGAGCTTGTTGCAAAATTTCGAATAGATTTTTTATTGGATTTAATTAAATATTTTATAGAAAATTCAATATCAAACTTTGTATAATAATAATAATAATTACAATAACAATTTATCAGAAATTGTTTATTGAATAAAGTTCTTTGTCGTATGTTAAAACTTTTCCTGAAAGGTTGAGTAGTAATTTTTCTTGCACAAATAAAAGGTGTATAAAATAAACAGATCATTGAATTTCTATTAAAATTTTGACAATTAATTTTTAAACTAGATAACATGGTTTTTTTATTTATATTATTTATTTTCTTTTTTTCAAAAAGAAAATTATTATTATTATGATTAGATTTTAGTACCCTGGAAACTTTTTTCATGAATATCATTACCAAAAAATACAAATAAAAAAACAGCAATTTTTTTTAATTATTATTATTATTATTATTTAACATTACAGTTTTTTTTTTTTTAATCATTTTTTTCAGAATTATCTTCAGCTTGTTTTCTTATTCGTTTTTCATACTCGCGACGATTTTTCCTATTGAATAAAAATTATAAATATATTTATCATCAAAAAGGAAATCTGGCATGGATTGTCATAGAAATAAGTTTTTAAAAAAACTACTTGTATAAAACATAAGCTTCATTATGTGCAGGACTTTTGGGATTTGGTTCATCTAAAAGATTTTGGATTCCTAACAAGATCTAAACAATGGAGAAAATTTTCGAGCCATTATTAATGATTAATTGTAATAAAAATAAATAAATGGATGTTATTTTTTTTACCTGTTTAATGTTAATACCAGGTTTCCATCCTTCATTTGGATTTATAATTGAAAGACAAACCACCCCAGATGGATAAACATTAGGATGAAAAAGTGCAGGTTCAAATCTACCTATATATAAATAATAAACACAGTATATAAATATATATTGAGGAATTTAATTATCATAAATTTATATTTTAAATGACTGTTTTTTTTTCTAATAATTGTCCATTGTTATAACCTACATGTAGGTGGTTTTGAAGGATAGTCTTATAATAATAATAATAAGAAGAAAAAATCAATTAACATCAAAAAATGTTGTTTTCTTAAAAAAAAAAAGTTATGGTTTTGAATGGTTTATTTTTTTTACCTTCTGGAAAAATCAAGACCATTTTGTAAAGACCATTTTCCCATAGCGTCTAAGAAGAAAAACAAATTTATTTATTTCAAAGATGAATATATATGTGTGTGTGTGTGTTATTTGAATCGAAATAAACTTACGCCTTTTTTTCCTGGAATTCCCACTTTCCATGTCATCATATCTAATCCACTTTCTTTCTTAACTGGCATTGCATAAAAGCCCTTTTAAACAAAATATATGTTATATATATAAATTACATCATAAACGCGGTTATTTTCTAATGATATAAAAGCTCACATACATATGGATGGTCTCTCCTCCATTGTTTACGCTCTTCTGTAAGACGTGACAAACAAATTCCTGACATTTTTGGGAGTTTATTTAATAAAAGTGCAAGTAATAAAGAAGTAAAGTCAACTATTGATAATTATTTACGCGCGGAGTGCAAATCTTGATTTCAAAAAACATTCTACGTGTAACTTCATTATCACATAAAAACCCCTCCCCAGGAGAAATGACCTCATTCGTGGCATTCTATTAATTCAGAAAAGTTTTCTTACCAACAGAATTTTTAATTGAGATATTTAAATAAATCGAAAACGATTGTAAATATTCTATTCTTGCATCCTAGTTCAGTATTCCAACTTTACGGAGAGATCCATTCTATTCTTTTAACATTACTAATATATTAATAAATTAAGGTCTCGGCTATTGGAAAACCACCATTATACAATTCACAACTGGACTAGATTTTATGTGTAATTGGTGTAATGTACCAACAAAGATTTTTTAAACAATATAACATAAATATAACATTATTTATCACCAAATATTTTAAAAAATGAAAATTCTAGAACATTTTGTTCAATGCCACACACATCTTGCCATCAATTATAGATAAAACACATCCCGGGGCTATATTCCTTGGTAGGTAATATTAACACAAGCCACTAATAGGATTGGACGGTGTTGTTTTCATCCGACCTAACTGCACCTTTATCATCTCCTATCAATAATTGACCATTCATTACCTCCTCGTAATTTGTTAAATAGACAATTGCTGACAATAACGAAGGCATCAATGGTGTTTTTTTAGGTTTGTAAAGAATGAAAATTTTATCATGGAAAGAAGTATTGTTTTTCTTTATATTAATTAAAAAAAAAATGAAAAATAAATTTTGTTGGTTTTTCAATCATTTATATATCAATTAGTTAAAGTAATTTTATCATGGAAGTAAATAAGATGAAATTTTTATTTGTTAAAAAATATTCAGTCAAACATTACCAACAGAAAAGAATGAAGCTTTCCTGCCATGATTCATAATGGCTTTCATCAATTCTGTCATTAATATTAATTTTATCGTTGTTGTGATATTAGCTGGTAAAGTAATCATGATGCTTAGCTGATAATTGGCACAAAAAAAATTTCCAATGAAATCAAAAAGAAACAATAAAAACAACAGCTTTTCATAAATGAAAAAACTGAACAGGAGTAGAATTTGAATTTGAATATAGATTGCAAATACTACGTATTAACAAGTTTTGACTTGAAAAACTATTAGTATTCCTTCATTCAAAAACAAAATAATTGTTGACAACACAACACTATTTAGAATGCGATTTTTTTTATGTCAATCATATGTAATAATTCCACATTGAATCAATTTCTTAATAAATACTCTGTTCTTAGGACAATTCTTGTTATCTAATAAAAAATTTATGGATGTTGACGTTCATGTTTTATTTCGATTAACATATATGCATAATACATAAATTTGAGTTCAATTTTATTTGTAATAGCAAAAATCTTACTGTAACAACCTCATATTTCTAACTACATGTTAAAAGATCAAAATACATGACGATGTTCTACAATCTCAAATTTGCCTTTTGCTGTAGCCTTTATGTCAAACACTCTTCCCAATGAAGGCTGATTCACTTGGTAATAAGTTTGCCTAAGATAGTCAATGAGATCTTCATTAATCTGTTGATTCTCCATAGGGGGGAAATCAACAACACAAAAAATTGAATCAGATGAATTGCCGATGCTAGCTCCTCCAAAACTCATGGTATTATCCGAAAACGATTGAAAACCAGGAAACCTTCGAATAGCTGATCCAAAAAAAAAAAATTGTTAAAAAAATGTAACAAAACATTATTAGTTATTTTTGGACATACCATTAGTTATGTTATTTTTATTAATATTTCGCTGTCTGAGTCCGTTATCGTTCCACTCAATGATGAATAACATTGGATCAATATAATAATCATCTATCTCAGAGACAGGGACACTGCAATTCGCTTTTGCAGTATTGAACCATTGGACAATAATTTCTTGGGTTTTGTCACTAAAATCCTTTAATGAATTCGTCATCTTTTTTTTTACTAATAATTTTTTACTAATAATTTTTTCAAATAAATCAGATTAAGATATTGGTAAATAAACACATTGTATAAGAGAAAAATGAGCGTTATACCTAAAGAACTTAGGAAAGAGCTTAGAGAAAAGCCAGTGCCAAAATGCTAAAGACATGCTAACGGGAAATGTACACATGATAATAATGACTACTACAACAATACAAATGGTTTTTTCAATTGTTTTTGGCATGGTTAATGTACGATTATGGTTAAGTATATATTAATGTGTCCGTAATTATCTAACTTGTTCAGAGATGGGAAAAGTAATTTTTTATGTAATAATTACATCATGATGTTAGCAAAGTTTGATTATCACGAACTCTAATCATCGTCCAATCAGCATAATAGAAATATAAATGATCGTGATAAAAATCATGCACCAAATAAAATACTATCAGTCACGGGACATGTCACGCAGATCAATGATCTGAAATCATAGTATTCGAATTTACACAGTAAAATTTTACAACCAAGCGATTTCTAATCCCCATTTAATACCCTTGCTGTGTAGTAACCATCGCCAAATTCGAGATATAACTTCTTTATCATATGTATTGGCTTTAAGAAAATTTTTAAAGGAGGTTGTTAATAAAACCGAAAATAATCTGACCCTCAAAGTCAAATTTTGCTTTTATATTAATATGTAAATTTTGTTTGACGCGTCCAATTACAAGTACAGATAAAAATAAATGTCCAAATATTACATTATTGTGAATATTTGCAGAGTTTTGATTACTTAGGTATGTCTTTTATAGTAAAATCATTTATTTTAAAAGGAAATATAATAAATAAATAGATATTAAGATTTTTCTTTACTACAGGGTCCTATATACATAAATAATGATTAAATTAAAAGGTGTTTTATCTCTGGCTTTATTCATTTAATTATTTATCATAGCGATGTTATTAAATATAAGTTAAAATAAAAGACATCAATAAATGAATGATTGATAAAACGTTCACTACTTTGCAAGCTTCATAAATCTTGTCCTTAACGCTTATACAAACTATTAAATTATTGATAAAACATTCGTTAGTATATTTTGTTCATAGATCTTGTCTTAACGCTTACTTTGATCACTCCTACACAAACTATTGAATAATTGATAAAACGTTCGTTAGTATATTTTGCAAGCTTCATAGACCTTGTCACTTCGAACTCCTATACAAACTGGATCTTAATCTCCCTCAAAAAAGATGGTTCGCTGTCGTCGTTTGCTATTTGTTACTATTAATATTATTGTTTAATGTTGCTATAACAACTACTGATTGATGGATATTCATAATAATCATTAATGGAACTTTATCAATATAAAGTCAGAAATATAAAACAATCACTAATAAAATATCTTTTAGTTTTTTTGAATTCCATTCTACAAAAATTCTTCATGACTATTATTAAATTTCTATAAAATAGTTTTCGTGAACCTTTCTAAAACTTATTAACCAATAATCCCCATAAAGTAATGGCCATATGAAAGTTTAAAGTATTCTACACCTTCTCATTTACTATCAGGTCTTTTAAATCGATATTAAGAAATAATCTGAGCTTTGAAGTGAAAAAGTAACACCGTTTTTGAATAGCCGTAAATTCATGTAGAGAAAACCTTTTCAATATGAAAAAGTATTCATTAAAAGCTTTAATGGAGTACTTTCATTTTACCCTAACAACGAGATATTTAAAAAACCTCATGTGGCACGGATTTCCAAATTTAAATTTACATATAGAAAATCAATTGATGTGACATTGTCACACGACTCCCGTTTCGGAAGAATGATACTGAAACAAAAAAATAATATATTAGTTACAATATATATTACGTTGTATATTGTAAAACAAGTTTTAGAAGGGAAGGGATTGGTTGATGCGAGCCACATCAACGTTAACATATCAAGCTCACGTTTCACAGACAACAAAATGTCTCATGCCCATCTTAAATTTCGTTGGGCGAATTCAATTTTTTATTTAATAAAAAAAATGTTTGTCTTTTAAAAGCCACAATAGTATGGCAAGCCAAAATGGGCAAAAGGTCGTTTGAATTAAATGCTAGAAATTTTCGATGTAGCATTAAGAAAATGCTACACTACGTTTCTTAAAAAATGCTATACGTCATTTTTTATTTGCACAAGTTTTTTTTTAAGAATGCTACATACGTTTTTATCGTTTTTTTGAAAATGTTACACGCTTTTATTTAATGCTTCTTGTCATTTTTTTAAAAGATCCACCATTATATTTAAAGGTTGTATGCTACACTTTATTCTTTTAAATTCTACTGTTATTCTTTTTAAGATGATATGTAAAGTTTTTTTAAATAAAAATGCAAATTATTTAAATATAAAATTATTTTTTTAGTTAAATTTTATGATTAAATATAATGAGTAAATCAGATTCAATTTCTTGATCACACACAAAATTTTATTATTCAAGTATGGTTGCTTGCCAAAACTCCTCCGGAAATCAATTGGCATTCATTAAGAGGTTTCGGCAAGCAACCTTATATATTCAAGCAACAAATGCATTATTACAATCTGAAGATTATGACTATTTACATAATCAATTAATTCGTTATCAACTATGCTTAGAGACTTCTACAATATTTTGATGATAACAATGATAATAAAATTTATTTATTAATTATAAATATTGGCGTATTCAGACAAGAGGTGTCCCCTTCCATAATTAAATCATCGATTTCATTGATTTTATTCATTATTTCGTAATAATAGTGCAGTTAGATGGAAATGCGTTTTTTAGGAATGACAAATAAAAACATGTGCGACATTAAATAAAAAAATGCGTGTAGCATTTTTTAAAAAATGATGTGTAGCATTTTTAAGAAATGACGTGTTAATAGCATTTTAAGAAATCTTCGTGAAACTGCAAATTCTTTTTTATAGGTAAAATTACCAAAGACATTAAAAAAAATCCACAATTAAACCTGAAATAAAGATTGAAAGTTACACGATCGTTGACAACGATCAACATTTTTTATACCAAAAAAGACAACAACAGTCACACCTAAAAATAAATCACCCCATTGGGAACATATCACTATCACTCATGAGCATGCATTTAGAGATTTTATAAACTTGGGAATGCGTTTATAGAGGGTATATACACTTAGAGGGAGTTGACTTTACACAAAATTTTTAGTTCGTCAAAATTTAAAAGAAGGGTAATACAAAATATAGCAATAGGAAAAAAAAAAAATTACTGTTTATTTTTGTCTCGTGTCAGATTCGAACTGACGACCGTCTGTGTGTTAGACAGACGTGATAACCAACTACACCAACGAGACTATATGTGAAAATTCGTAAAATTATATAATCATAATATTTAATTTTTAAGCAAAAAGTTTGTTACACGATATTAATATATATATATATAACTTTTTTATAGAAGCGATCTTCACAACTATTTTTATAACTTTAAAATAATTCTTTTCATCATGATTATCAATCAATTTTTTTGCGGATTGGTGAATTTGGTGTAGTATATGACAACGATTCTCCTAATTATTAAATTTTTATTAATATTAATAACTATTTTTTAGTTAAAATATTACAAAAAAAAACTCACCACTTCTTTCATGATAAATACTAGAATATTCCTCTAAATCTTGTAATCTATCAGTATCAAATGATCTAGACATATAATCAATGAACCAATCGCCTCAATTAGTTAATAGTCTCATATCCACATATGATCATATAAAAAAAATAATAGTAAAGAGCATGCATACGGAGGAGCACTCGAAGATCGTTTAAATGAAAATAATGAAGCTGATGATAATGAATTATTTGATTTTCTAGATCTAGTTAATCCTAAACATTTGGAAAAATGTCTAGCATAAACCTTATAAGGATATTTTAGATTACACCTATTGCAATTCAACATTAATTTGGTGGATTTTAAGGCTTGTATTTCTTGTCCGAATATATCAAATCCTGGTCTATCCAATAAAATGAATGGATTGCTTTTAACAAAAAATACAAATTTATATTTAATAATATTATTATTTAAATCTTAATCATAACTGATAAGTAACAAATTGATAATAGTACTTGTCGTCAAGATACTCGATTTTATCAGTTTTAATAAGTTGTGGATTTTTAAAATTTTTATACTCTTCAAGCATTATATCAACAATGCATTCATCAATTAGTTCGTTTAAAATTTCTTTCGCCTTAATTAATTTTCAAAAAAAGATATTATTAATTAATTAATAAAATTACTAAAATATATTATCATTAGTATATATTGGTATTTACCAATCCCGCCATGTTTTGTGGATATTTCATTCCATAATGATTATGACGTGTAATTATTGCAGACGAAGAAGAATATGAATATGATTGAGAAGTTACATCAATTGTTTCTATTGATTAATAGAAAATGGGTTTCTTTATATATATATATATGAAAAAAGTGATTACGATAATAAATAAATGTTTACCATTATCAACTTTTAGTGATTTTTTATTGTCATTTTGAACTGCTTCTTTAATTGAATCAACTGAGTTGAATAAGTTATTATTATCATTATCATTATATTTACTTATCATTGTCATTCCTCTTCTTCTTCTTATTATTATTATCATTATCATTAGTATTATTATTATTATGATTAGCGATATTTGTATTTGAAACCTACCTCTTTCAATTATTTTAACATTATTAACAATAGTATTTTTATTATTTTTTAATTGTTTATTAAGTTGATATTGTTTATCATATCTGCTATAAATTCTAAGTCTGATTGGTTGAGCTATTGTTGCTGGTGAAATAGTTACTGGTGAAACTGTTGTTACTGGTAAAATAGTCGTCGTTGGTGAATCTGTTGGAGTAGTGAGTGGTAAATTTGTAGTTGGTGAAGCTGCTGCTGGATTGAGTTTTTGTTGATGGTCCTTACTCATACTTAAATTTTTCGTGTCAAAAAAAACCCCTGTTTCACAAAAAAACATTTTGTTAATTTTTTTAATATCGTCGATTCAATTTACGCGAAATATCTGTGTACCATAATTAAACCATCTTTTAGAATGTCACTTGATTGTTTAATATGGCTACGATGTTGAAAATTTAACCAAAAAATACGCGTAAGTTTACAAAAAGTAATGATTATTTCATGTATTTCACGAGTTAGTAATTTTAGGAATTCGTCGCTTTACTTATATATTATCATTATATGTACAATTCTAAACCATATTATTTATTATTTTATATAAAAATAAAACTTTTAAATAAATAATTTTTAAATAAATAAATAATAAATAAATCTATATTTAAGTGCGCATGTGTTTACTTTTTACTCATGTGATATCTTCATATCAATACTTATATCTACCATAACCAACCTTTCTTTGTAGGTTTACCAACTCTAACAGTTTGATCATTTTTCCTACTCCAAATCAATTCTCTGGTACGTTGTTCCTTATCAACTTCTTCAACTCTTTCACAAACATTATCCAACAATTCATCAAACCCTTCACTGTTAACGACTTCTTCAAAACATTTTTCTAATATCTTTGAATCAGGTCTAACATTTTGTTGATCATCTATCATTATGAGATTGTCATGATCTAACATTCTAACCCATTTTGGATTACCCGTTATGATTCTACACTGGTTTACTGGTAAGGATTTTGTTGGTGATTTAATTAATTCTCTAATTAATTTCCATGCACAAGATGCATATTTCTGTTCTTCGAATGCTGTCTCTTCAAAATCTGGTATTAAGCCAATTGTATTTGTCATCCAAGTTCTTTCTTCTTCTTCCAACTTGTCAGCGGTTTCTAATTTAAATACAACGATTATTATTATAGGAAAAAATAATTATAAATAAAAAATCATTTTATATATACCAACTAAATTATTTTCTCTTCCTAGTCTATTGATATATAACAATCTACCACCAATACGACTAATAATACTTTCAATCACTTCATCTGATTCACGACCACGACGCTTTTGTTTAAGCAATTTTATTGCTTCATCATTTCCTAAGTTATTGACTCTAATCACTTCCATACGTGATGCATCTCGTTCTATAATTCATAGTTCAATAATAAATAAAAAATCGATAATCTTAAATTCAATTTAATATATATATATATATATTCATAAATAAATTTTATACTTACTCATACGCTCATAAACTGTATAATCATCGGTGTTAAATATTATTGTTACAAGTTTAGCAGCAGCCCATGATTCAGCTCTTTGTTGCAATAGTTCCAATAAATCCTCGCCATCTTCGTCATCTTTAAATGCGTGGATATTATTAATTATTAATACTAAAGGTCTGCCACGCCTTCTTGAATATTTTACAGCTACAAGTTCTATCATGTTAAATGCTTTTTCGACATCCAATAATGCAGAACCTCTTTCAGGTGCTTCCCTAGCAAATAATTGACCAACATAGTCTTCTCTATAAGTATAATGTAATGCTTTACCTAATCTTGTTTTGAATACTTCACTGTCTGAATGTGCCTCAGTAAATACAACACCATAATGTCCTATTCTATCCATAGCATTTAATACCAATTGAGTTTTACCGGTTCCTCTCTCACCCACCAACAAATAATATTTTCCTAAACCATGACCTGCAATAGCATGATTTATTTTTCTTTGTTCTTCTCTAGCAAAAAAACCATCTTTTGTTTTAGATTTTAATAATGGTGCAGGTTTAGTAAATGCTAATTGAACTTTATGTACTTCATTCCATTCATAAAATGCTTGATAAACTACTCCTCCAATTCCAACAGCTCCTAATCCCATAACTGTTGTCAAAACTGCATCCATAACACGTTGTGAAAATATCGAACCAGTTTGTGGTGGAGGCGGTGGTCGCTGTTGTTGTTTATTCGTACCCCCATTCGATGATGATGATTTTTTTCTTCTTCTTTTTCTTCTTCTTGGATCTAATTCTTCTTCTTCATCCAGTGCTGTTTCTGCTGATTTTTCTACCATTGGTTGAAATGGGTCTACAAATTATCACAATATTTATTGGTTTTATATATGCTTTTAAAAGAAATATATCATTTCTCACTCTCGCAAAACGCCAACGTTTAAGAATCAAACCTCGATATATAGATAAATAAATAAAAATTAATTAGAGCCATAATTAATCTTATTTACCAGGAAAAGGATCCCATACTCCAGCAGCATTTGTATCTTGATTAAAATTTCTAATTTGTGCTTTATTATTATCATCGTTGTTAAATAAAGATTTTTTTATTTTCAAATTATAAAATCTATAAAATTCCAGTCTAACAATTTTATTATTATTATTATAAACAGGATTTCTTTTCACGATATTTACTAGATTATTGCGGAATTTATACATAACTCTTGGCGAAAAAAATTTTTTTTTAATATGTAGTACCAAACAAAATAAAATGTTGCTTATTTAAAAAGTGATATCGTTACAAAATGCTAAATATTACATTCAAAAGACATAGAATGATAATAGTAAAAATGCTAAATATAAACTCAAAAGAATCATAAACTAATCAAAAAAAAAATTTTTTGGAATTCATTACAAAATTACTTTCACGTTTACCTGTCTTTAAAACAAGCCTAGCTTTACCAATTGGCTCTGACTGAATCCCAGGAAGTCGTGGTTGAAGGGAAGGTGGGATACAAAAAGGATTAGGAAAAGTGCCTTGGATGATGGTACGTACTCCATAAGCCTCATCTAACTTAGAGGTTGGAATTGTCCAAAAAAATCCTTAGTCGACTACTAGTTGGTCAAAATTTCTTTAGTCGACTAAATTTTTTTTTTGCAAATTACGAATTCATTTTTCATTTTTTCAAAATACTTCCACACAAAGCCATGTGTTACGATTCGTTTTTTTATGAGTCTTCTGGAACCACCGCTTAAATCATCGGAACTTGAAGCTAATGAACTATTGGACCTTGTATCGGAAGTGTTATTCGGTCACATGTAAAATTATCATCAACAACAACACCATTATTGTCGTCATAATCATATTAATGGTATTGTTATTCTTCCGCATAGAAATTTTCCATTTTGAATGATAAAACACAAAAATCGTAATTGGTCAAACAATAATAATATTAACATAATATTAGTATTGTAATAGTAGTATTATTTATCGACTATTTTAGTCGATTCCAACCTCTAATCTAACTCTTTGAAGTGAAATAAACAGCGTGAGCCCTTATCTTTCCGTGTATTTGTAAGACTGGTGATTGCAAAAGCGTCCATAACGTCATCATACGAGGTCTGTCCATAATGGCCAATCCACCGATCATTTGGTATGATTATTAAAATGGAATCATACTTCCCAACGTCAGAAAGCATTTTTTCATAATTATGAATTTTACCATCAGGAGCTTCTGAAAAAAAAAGCTCGAAGAGCATCAAATAACGATAAAGGTTCTTTAAAATAAATAACGTGTCTTATTTTAGATTTTATTATAGAGGCAGCTATAAAAAATTATTTTTATTGATCTTTTTTACTTGCTTCGTTTTCTTGCTCTTATTCACGTTATGCAATCTCCTTTCCCTTGTTCAATTTCTTCTTGCGCTTTTAACAATAATTTTTTATTCATTTTTAAAATTTAAAGACAAAAAGACAAAGTAATTGTTTTTTGGTATATAATAATATGTAGGGGTGACTTACTAACTTTTACTAATTATAATACTAATACTAATACTAATAATACCAAACCGCCCCATCCCTAAATTGAACGCCACTACATCATTTTTTTTAATGCATATTTTTAAAGATAATAAGAAACCAGATAGATGTTCTGACAACAAGTTTTGCTGCGGAATACCAGTTCTAATATACATCTTGGGGACCACCTGATTATATTATAATTAGGTAAATTACTCAAAAAGAGAAAAAATACTTCTACCAAACAAAAATTGCCTTTTGTCCTTTAAAAAGGAATAAAAAATTATTGTTAAAAGCGCAAGAAGAAATTGAACAAGGGAAAGGAGATTGCAGAACGTGAATAAGAAGCAAGAAAACGAAGCAAGTAAAAAAGATCAATAAAAATCATTTTTTATAACTGCCTCTATAATAAAATATAAAATAAGACACGTTATTTATTTTAAAGAACCTTTATCGTTATCTGATGCTCTTCGAGCTTTTTTTTTTTCAGAAGCTCTTGATGGTAAAATTCATAATATGAAAAAATGCTTTCTGACGTTGGGAAGTACGATTCCATTTTAATAATCATACCAATGATTTTACAAATACGCGCAGAGATAAGGGCTCACGCTGGGCAAAACCCCGTAATATTACAAAATCGAAAAACAATTACGGCGAACATCTCTACTGTATATATAAACATATACATGCAAAATTTTTGCTATCATTTCCAAATTAATGCATAATTCATAAATAGTGTGTACATGTTGGAAAAATACATGCGTAAGGCAACAAATCGATTGCTGCATGACTACACTATTAATATTTATTAATACAATTTCATTTACAATAAATCAATTATCACCTTGATGGTGATGCCTGAGTTAGCGATTCTTTTGTTTGAACATATATTCTGCTTGGATTCTGTATGATTGCTCGCATTTCTGTATAGTATTCCATGGTACATATCTTTAATATCAAATTAGATCTTAAGAATGTTGTATCAGAAATACATCTAAAAGTTGGCATAATCCATATCTTGAAGAAATAAATCTTTTTTGATAAGTTCTTTGATCATGTAGAAATCATTTTTGATCTCAGGGATAGAGAGTTGTGTATGTGTAAGTATGTCAACAACATATATTCCTTCTGGTATGCAATGCATTGTATAGATGGTAATTACACATTCTGAAATAATAGACATAAAGGAGTAAGATCATAAAAATCACATTTAGTCACCTGATTATCATCATTTACCATATATTACAATTCCATAATTTTCTATGCATTTGATTTTATCTTCAGTGGCTCCATTCCATGTTGAAAGAAATGTAAATGTTATCTCTGGTAGAATATGGAGATTTGCATTGCTATAGAATAATTTACATTAATAATATAATAATATAAATAATATAAATGATTATTTAAATTCGTGTTGCATTATTTAAACCAAATACCTAGATTTGCATCCATCATTGCTTATTTTAGTAAAGCTCTGATTTTTTTGGTTCTTATACACGTCCTGGACAAAAGTATAGGGACACCTGCAGATCATCGCAAATAATTGAATGTATATAAGATCTAGATGATCGCGTAACAATTTTATATATTAATAATAAGCAAGATTATACTTGTAAAAACCAAGATTTGTTTTTATATACAAGCTAGTAATAGGCCACTTAACTTTTAAGTATTTCTATTATAGTGTTGCTATGATAGTTTCATTTCATCAATTAATATTATAATAAATTAATAACCTATATATAAATAATTATAAATCAGTCTCTTATAATTAAAGTCAAAATTTTTCTAACATAACCTTTCAAGTAGTTATAAGTGACTTTGTAGGGAACACTTTGGCTCAATTGTTGCCGCTGAATTTGTTTTAGTCTGCATACTAGTTGGAAGAAAATCTTAAAATAAGTGTGAAGAAAAGAAATGCTTCTGACCTAGCGTAGAATAACCAATATTTAAGCTAACCTTTTCTTTTAACTATTGTTAGAAAGTTCTAGTCTGGCTCTAAAATTTTTATCATGGTTGAAAATTGCTTGCTATATGAAACACGGAGGGGGGTTTTTTTTTGAAGTGGACGATAATAATTTTATTCATGTAATGTTTATATTGAATGACATTTGATTTGCAATGTCCTGCGACTAATATTAATGAAAAAATTTTTTTGCAAATTTATTATTATTATTATTTAATACAATTAAGTAATGATCGACAAAAATTTAAAAACAAGCTTTTAATCCAAACGCGTTGTGATATACACCTACTATATCTATTGTTTTTGCACAATACTTCGAACCTACTGCTTACTTATAACTTAGGTACTCAACTGCATGATTGTGACTGAATAACTTATACCCATATGGGAGCTACAAAATAATATTGGTATATGAGTCTATTGGTCCTATTCATTAATTAAACACCCAATTTTGCAAAAAACAGATGAGCAAAATTGACAAATTCACAAAAAGTAGTGGCAGAAAGGACAGTTTTGATGATGAGGCTGGTTTTTTATAGACTATATTTATTATTTAGGGTTTGGGCTTATAAAAAAATAATTTTTGCTCAAAGTATTTGGGCAATTTCGGCTACTAATAGAAGTAGTTTCGACCAGAAACCTTAGTTGGAACTGTAATAAGATTGCAAAAAATTTAAAAATTATTTTAAATTTTATTAGAATATCATATCATGGGAATTTCCAAGAATTTCGCGAGATTAAAGTATATAGTAAGTTCTATGAGCTGAAAGATTGGTCATATTATTATTACTCACATGTTTTTTATTATATCTGTAGACCGCTGTTTTTATATATATAGTTTATCCATACCTTTCTCTGGGATTTATTATTTCAAGCAAGAATTCATGTTTGAGTGCCCAACAATTACTTTACTTGCTTTTAAAACATTACCGAAATTCTTGGATAACTTATGGAAATTACATGTAGGTATTTGACATGCATGTAAAGGATGTTATTATAAGTGGATGTAACTAATAATTTTGAACATATTAGGATATTATTTCCTCAAGTGCAGAAAGCATCATTTCATATATTGAAAGCACAGAAAATCAGATGATAACAGTGAACTTGATCAAGTGATTGCCTCACCAAAGGAACAAAAAAGATAGGAACATATGTTAAGTAAAATATGTGATACCTTGATAAAAATGTTATGTAAACATGTGATGAACATGTGATTATCCTATTAATTTTACCATAGAAATTTTTTCTTTCATTTCATTGCAACCAGAGTTAATTTGGTTTTAAATTGGCTCTTAAATTGCTTTAAAAGTTTTTTTTTGAGCTTTAATTTCCAAAACAACATAAGTAAAAACAATATTTTATTAAAAAAAAAGAATAAAATACTTTGGATGTTTTTTATAATACATATGTATTAATTCATATTAAGCTCATTTTTTTATTATTAAAATAATATCTTCAGTATAAAACCACAGTTCATTTTTTCTATAATGAAATATAATGATCTATCTATCATATATATATTTTTTCACCACTACTATGGCAATAGAGAAATATATGTTGTAGAGAAAAATTAATAATAATAATAATAAAATAATTTTGTTATAGTGAGGAGACATTACTATATAGATAGGGAGAGTGAAATTTTCTCAGGATAATATATTTTTTAGAGTTATTTACATGGTATAAGGAATAAAAATAATAGTATCTTACTTTTTGCATTTATAATGACAATAATAAAATTATTAAATTGTCACATTTCTGAAGTGTGACAAAATTGAATGTGAGTCAAATCCGCCCATATGTTCTTTGTTTTGCTACAATAGGTTCAATAATTTCAATGCCAAATAAAAATCATTATTAATCCCGACATTATGAGATGGTAATATAGCAAATTTCATGTACACAGTGTATCTCGGTTTAGCGGATAAGTTCGTTCCAAAAAAATTATCCGCTAAATCGAGATATCCGCAAAACCGAGATATGATGAAACAATCACGTGATACGTTGTACAATAATACTAATACTAATATTTATTTATC